TATAACTATGCCACCCGAAAAAAGTTAGATGCTAAAGGTTTCCTCAGCCACCATCGCTCTGGGACTTGCTGACTGCTATAGTTTTAGGATTTCATGCTATTGTTTTTCAGAGGGGTTAGGGCAGTGGTTCTCAACCTGTGGGTAGCGACCCCCGTCGGCGGTCGAATGACGATTTGCCAGGGGTCGCTTAGCGGCTCCCGGCCGCCCGGGATAGAAACACTTTCTCCCGGAAAGGTTTACTCTGCTCGATCGAGAATTCCTATTGTGGTTTTTTTTTTTTACTTTGACGGCGTACACCAGTAGTTCTCAACCTGTGGGGTCGCTGTGTGATTTCTGCTGTGCTGGGTGAGAGTCCTCCTCAGCCCTCTCCTAGCGCATCAGTGTCAGTTCTCCTGCCACGCCGCAAGATGTCGCTGCAGCAGCCGCGTCATCCCTAAATTTTACCGTTGGGGGTCACCACAACTTGGCAAGACCACCACCACAAGAGGTCCCGGCCCTAGAAAGGTTGAGAACCACTGGGTTAGGGTTTTACATTTTCTTTCCAGGAGATAGTTACTTTAAAAAAAAAAAAGGAAAAAACTTTTACCAAATTGACCCAAAAACCATTATAAATTGGAATAAGATTGTCACCTATGTGTGCAAACAATCCCCGAAGGATATTTGTCATTATTTAATAACAGATTGAAAAAGCAATAATATGCGGAATCTCTCACCAACCTTCCCTCGTATTTTTGGGCTCAAACAAACAAAAAAAATAGTGTTGACTTGTTAGGAGGTATGGTACTTTGTTTTAGTTCATAAAAGCCATTTAGGTGGGTGGGGAACATATATAAAGCCTGGGCAGTACTGGTTTTATAAATGCTTCCTAAATGGCTTTTACACACACATGCACACGAGTCTCAGCAGCACATGCCGAAGCGGACAGAGCTAAAGGCGCCTTGTGCCCATTGTCACCGTGTACCATAGAGCGCATATCGTGGCCACACCAGTTAGAAGGCAGAGCATTAGGAAAACCATGCAGAGGGGACAGACAGACAGACGGGCACACTCGGACAGACAGACAAGAATAGCGGCACTTACATGATAACCGTTTTCTTGGGCGCTTTAGTCTCTTGTTCAGTGACTATAAAAGGAAACAGTATGGAGAGCAGGGGTTAGAGATCGCCACACGCTGAGATGACCGCCTTAATAGTGTTAAGATCATTAAAAGGAATCTGGATGGGCAAAGAAAGCACACACGCCACCAGCCCAGGACCTGTGAAGGTACCATCCTCATGACTACTTTTTAACAGTGTGCAAGAAGGCTTTGAGTTGCCTGTGTGGTCACACACAGGTCCAACAGCTCAACGTATACCAATTAACCCTTTACTAGATCTCATTAAAACATTATCAGTAGGCATATGTTCGCTAAGTCTGGGCATTTGTTATATCACCCTGCTGGTCACCTACTTTGTGCCTTACCTCCTTGGAAACATGTTGAAGGATTGGTCTACCTAAAAGTGCTAATTCAGTTGTAACTGGGGTCTGGTGGTCAAAGGTGCCTTGGGTTCTTGGGTAAACCAGTTGCAAACGTCTTTTCCTAATATCTCCACAATGTGGACGTTTGGCTATGCCCACCCGCTTTGGTGTGTTCCCATTCCTCCTCGTGCATTCTCAATAATACAAAAGAAAATCCAACATAAAGAGTGGCAACCTCTGGTTTTAACAATAATAAGTGGGACCAATAGATTTCACCATCAAGCTTACCAAGATATACAAGAAACGGATGGGTGGTTTAACCCCTCAGTATCTACCGAAGACTTAAACAGTTCTGGGATAAGTACGATTTAAATTTGTTTAATATGGAAGCAGTATTACCTAGAACATTTGAGCAGCACCCTGGTCCATTCACTCCAGTAATAACAGAGCCGATTAATATCTGCTGTGACTGAACATGTAACGCACATGTTCATTGCATCATGTATACCCAGAGAGAGCAGACAGATGTGATTTTTGCATGTAAACCTCAGTTTGCACCAGGGCCGGATTAACATAGGGGCTACTGGAGTGTAAGCTCCAGGCCCAGCACTGAAAATAGGCCCAGTCAGCCTGGATTGCCTCGGTATGCCCAATGGCTGGCCGGGCTGAACACAATCAGGTAGAGGCGCCGGCGGCTCTCTAATCAGGCATATTAGGCGGCCCCTTCCCGGGGCCTTGCGATGCCCCAGCAAGGAGCGAGCGTCAACTTTATTAGAGAGCCACCTCTGCTGCTTCCTGTCCAACTGACCGACAGCACCAGGCCCATGATGCTCTTAATCCGGCCCTGGGTAGCACCCACAGCCAAGGCAGAAATCAGTCATCTCTAAAGCGACAATAAGATGGAAAGAGGCGCAAATACAACTACAATGAAAGTGCAGACCGAGCATTTGGGAAGTTAAAGCATCCTGTTGTTTAAAAAAAAGATGCTGATGGAAGAAGGCTCTTAATACTTACCGCTACAGATGGTGGGGAGTCCATACTTCACTCTCTCTAAGACCTGCCCTATGCCAAAATCTTCAGCATCTGGCAATTCCATGCCAACTGTGGTTTCTTCAGCCAGCTGCTATGTCACCACAGGGCACACTAGTGGCATAGGGGCTGGTGGAAGAAACCACAGTGCACAGCAGGAGATACAACCAAAGGTGAAAAAGTATAATCCATCACTCCCTCTTGCACCATGGGCCACTTCCCTGACTATCAGGTGCCAAAGCCAGACAGGGGCTTGTCCACACAGTTCGGGAGTCATAGAGAACAGAACTGGGGGCACCCCGTAGAATCGGGGCAAACAACATGACGCCCACCTGGGAAACCTCTTCCTCTGATGCATTTCCTCAAAACTGGGCCTAACTGCAGAGACATGGCTCAGATTTGCTCTCGGTAGTAGTTGAGCGGGCAGGCTGAGTGACTGCAGTCAGGGCCGGATTTCCCACAAGGCCAACCAAGGGCAGGAGGGAGTAGAGGGGCAGCAGGGGTGTGGAATTCCTATCTCCCGATGCACAGTGAAATAGTTTTCAGAGAGAGTCTACAGATCTGTGTATGTAACCCAACCATGGAAATAACAAAATGTCAACATGTATAAAAGAAAGTGCAAAATGACATCAAACATTAATTTCAAGGATAGATTTACAATAACACCTCAAAATACACAATTTTCGTATATTTTGTTGGTCTACTTTCAGGAAACATTATAATGGAAGCTCCAAGTCACTGAACTGCGCTGCCTTAATCTTTTTATATCAGTTTGATGTTATTGTGTTCTATTTATAGAAAATGCCGTTCTTTAAAGGCAGGAAGAGATCTTTCCAGAATCCAAACTCCGTATAAAAAGCAGTGATTAATCAGTGAGTTTGTTTTTACTGCAAAATCAGCAGATCAGAAATGAGGAGCCGGAAGAAGCTGGAAATTAAAATCCCAATACTTTTATGTATGCAATAATATAAGAAGTGTAAGTATAAATATATACACATACTGTACAATTTGTCAATGAATTGGCATTCGATTAATCATTTTGCAGCCAGTTAGAGGACATATTGTTATTGTAGTGTAAGTCTACCCAAGACAGGTATTTTGGTTGTTGGTATTTGCAAATGATTTTAAGACATTGGCGTGTCCAAGGCAAACATTTCATGGGTGGGAACCCATTTTATCTTTTTATTCTCCCCAAACAGTCTTTTTAGACACTGTCTTTTTGGGTTAAAGGAGAACTATGGGGTCAGTGCTTTTCCCCATAGTTCTCCTTAGGGTAACGGGAGGACACAAACTAGCGTCCTCCCGTGACCCAAAGCTCAGTATATAGGGAGCTACAGCGAGCGGTATACTGAGACGCCGCAGCCGGAGCGGATCCCGACATCGATGTCGAGATCCGCCCAGCTGCGTGAGTGACAGCTGGCTCTGCCTATCTAGAGGGAGAGCCAGCTGTACCCGCCCCCTCCCCCGTCCGTTCCGCCAGTCAGCGCTGGCGGATCGGAGCGGGGAATCCAGCCCCTCCCCTGTCACGGCAGAGAGCCGTGACAGGATCGAGAATTTTGTACATTATGGAGAATTCCGAAGGAGGTGTGGGAACACCGCAAGACACACCAAAGCTTCAAGTCATCCAAAGGAGAACCAGGAACTAAGGTGGAACAATCTCACAGCTAGATTTTGGAAAACTATGGGGTCAGGGCTTTTCCCTATAGTTCTCCCCAGGGTCACGGGAGGACACAAACTAGCGTTCTCCCGTCACCCAAAGCTCAGTATATCACGAGCTACAAATCGCGGTATACTGAGACGCCGCAGCCGAAAACGGATCCCGACATTGATGTCGAGATCCACCCAGCTGCGTGATTGACAGCTGGCTCTCCCTTGTCCGTTCCATCAGTCAGCACGGGAGGATCGGACAGGGGAGGGGGGGGAATCCCTGCAGGGAGCCATGAGTGACAGTCACGGCTCTCTGCAGGGATAGATCGAGAAGTGAGCGAGCGACGGTATGTGTTCGCTCACTTCCCGATCTACTGAGCCGAACTGCGACAGTTTCATTGTCACAGGTCGGCTCAGATTATAAGGCTGAGTGAAAATCACTCGCCTCATAATTCTCCTTTAAGGTGTGAACAATTGACCCAGCCCACCAGACTCTACTGTTTACTGATATATCACTTATTGGAGGAGTGACCTTGTAAGTCTGGTGTTGCTGAGAGTCACATAAATAGTTAGAGACTTGATACACAGTAGGTAAACCAACATGCTGAGCATGGAAAGGCAGAAGGTGCAGACTACCCGCCCAAAGCCTTTGTTTCTCCGTTTGCCAGTATCAGGCCACTCCAATGTGTAATTTCCTCCTTCAAGCAGTATGATGTTCTGTGAAACCTAATCTGAAATTTACAGTTCTGGGATTGTACTTGTGAGCTTAGCTTCTACAAACACTTACAAAGTATTTAGCAAGCTCCAAGCAGCTTTCTTGAAATGTGTAAAACACCCTTTCACTTCCATCTGGGAGTATTGTATACAGATCTTAATGGGAATGCTGGCTGTAGCTTTAAACAAGCATCTAACAAGCTCTGGCAAGCTTCACGCATTGAAGCCTAGGGTGACGGGAGGACGCTAGTTTGTGTCCTCCCGTTACCCTAAGGAGAACTATGGGGAAAAGTCTTAACCTCATAGTTCTCCTTTAATTCCCAAACTGCTATAAGTCAATTTTAAGTAGCGTAGACTTAAGCTGGCCACACACCTTACAACCATCGCAAAACGTTTGTCTTGCGATGGTTGTAAGGTAATTAAAAAAACTTACAATCTGCCCATCTTGGGCAGGCAGATCGTATTTGTGATCATCGCAAGCCGCGCCCCGCTGAGGGGCGGGCTTCCGATAACGGCAATGCCGCATGGGCAGTGTGCGCTTGCGCACAAGGGCCCGTGCAGCATTTGTCTCCCGAGAACGACACTAACCCGCCGACAATCGTACGATTCTCGGCGGGTTTTCAAGCCTGCTCGGGCGACAAAAGACGTGCGACCGTACAGTAGAAATGGTCGCACGCCTTCCATACACCTGCCGATTATCGTACGATCACGGGATTTACCTTTAGGTCAGAGAGAAGGCAAAAAGCCCAAGCTGTTTGGACATATGGACTGGTAGGAGGTTCAAAGGAGGGAGAGTGATCGGGTGTGGCAAGAGAATTGGGCAAAACTCGATAATATCCAGGTACCCACATATCTGCCTGCCTGAGACTGGATTATGGTTCACTCATCTCTAGTTTTGGCAAACATCAGCAATGGGTAGTGTCCATCTTTTGCAATAGGAATGACAGTCCCTAGGAAGGCTAGGGGTAGGAAAGAAAGTCAGTGCAGACAGAGGGCAGAAACAAACGCCTAGCAACACATTGCAATCATGTATTTGCATGCGAAACCTTTCAACATTAGCGTAAGTCAGTGGCTTGCCGTGCACAAGACACATGGAGCTGATTAGGGTATCAGTAAGCGCACAAGTAAGTTTCAAGTAGCGCTGATTAAAATGCCGTGTTCGTTTTTTTGGAATAGATCTTCAGGCATCTCATCACGGATCTCAAGTGCTCTGCTTCATCAGAAATGAAAACTGTGACACTGCGTGGCCCTTATAAGCTTCCCAAACCTCAGTGT